TTTATGTGGGAAGTAGAAGTTAACTGTTTTGAATTCCAAAGTTATAGACTAAGAAGGAGGGAAAAGGTTGGCTTGTTTTCCTATCTAAATACCGAAGTTTCCCTTTCCCATTTTTGACAATTTCTTTAAAATAGCAACAGAAATTCATTATCTTTATTGAATCCTGTGAAATAAATTATACTCCCAGCAGGTGAAAATATTAACATAAGAATTAATGACTTGGGGAGGTGACTACCAAATAAACTTTCATTATATAAAGCCATTTTGCTGTTAGCAAATACTGAGCTATATAAGAATGTATCCATTTTGGGGTAACATATGTGTAAGTTATTACACATCAATTTATACCTCAAGCTGTTCAAAAAATTACTAAGGGCATCTAATCAACACTTTTTGCTGTAAACTAGAAGTGTCAAAAATGAGTTGAATATTTGTACCTTGAAATATAGTTTTCATAATCTGTATATATTAATTTTTTATAAATGGCCTTATAACATTGTATTTGTTTGCATGCCAAATTGTTCCCTGTTTGATGATGCTACCACCATCAGTAAATAAAGTGGTGTTTTTTTCCTTGATCCTTTCAAGTTCAGTACATATGAATCCCTAGGTTAGTTACTCTTAGTCATGCATGGCTCAAGTATAGATTTGATGAAAAGTATGTTCCATAGCCCTTCAGGGAGTTGGATATCTTGTTAGGCAACTTGGAATGCTTTCCCTTCTTATTTATATCTCTAAATTACCTTTCTTGGTAAATTTGGGTAAGTTGGTTCTGCAGTGTCTGCTGACAACAGAAATTTGGTTGTTAAAGGCAGCAAAAAGCTTTGACAGCTTTGAACAAGCGAAATGGCCTACATCATTTTATTAACCAATGTCACCTCAATAAGTTCAAGAAATAAGTCATTTTTTAAAAAATTTAATCACAAATTTGAAAAGATAATCTGCACCTTCATGTTCATTGCAGCATTATTCATAATAGCCAGGATATGGAAACAACGTGTGCCCATGAATAAAGATGTGGTATATGTATGTGTACAATAGAATACTATTCATTCATAAAAAAAGAATAGAATCTTCCCATTTATGACATCATGGATGGGTCTTGAAGACATTATGCTAAGTGAAATAAGTCAGAGAAAGCCAAATATTGTTAAATTCCACCTATAAGTAGAATCTAAAAAACAAAATGAACAACTAAGTTTACAGATTAAGGAAATAGATTGGTGCTTGCCAGAGTGGTGGGGCGGAGGGTGGGTTAAGTGTGTGAAAGGAGTCAAAATGTACAAAATTCCAGTACGTTTTTTATTTATTTTTTAATCCTCACCCAAGGATATTTTTCCATTGATTTTTTTTAGAGAGAGTGAAAGGGAGGGGGAGAGACAGAGAGAGAGAGAAATCAATTGATTGCCTCCCGCTTGCCCAACCAGGGCCAAGGATCGAGCCAGCAACTGAGGTATATGCACTTGACTGGAATTGATTCCTGGACCCTTCAGTCTGTGGGCCAGTGCTCTATCCACTGAGCCAAACATACTAGAGCCAAAATCCCAGTTTTAAAATAAGTTGAGGGGGTATAATGTACAGCATGGTGATTATCTTATCTAATAAAGAGGGAATATGCAAATTGACCGTCATGTCGTAATGGTCAAGATGGCTGCGCCCACAGTGGAGGCTGAGCCTTAAGGAGCAATCAGCAGGGACCTGAGGCTTTACACCACCACCCCCGGCGCCGGGCTGGGGTACCTCAGGCCGTGCCCGGCGCCAAGCTGGGGAACCTCAGGCCGCGCTCCCCGTCCAGCAGGGCTTGACAGGGGACCTCAGGGCATACCTCCTGCCCAGTAGGGCTTGACGGGGGACCTGAGGCTGCACCCCCGCACCTGTGGGGCTTGATGGAGGACCCCCACCTGTGGTGCCCCCTGCCCCGGCCTGGGCTGGGGGACCTCAGGACACGCATCCCGCCCCAGCGCCAGGCTGAGGGACCTGAGGCTGTGCCTCCCACCCGGCGGGGCTTGACGGGGGCCCTGAGGCTGTGCCTCCCGCCTGGCAGGGCTTGACAAGGGTGGGGCCGGCTGGGTCTGGGTCTTGCGCAATTTTGAGGCGCTGCGGGTGTGTGAGGACTTGACTCTGGGTCCCGCAGCGCACCCTAGACTCTGACAGGAGGAAGATTTTCATATACATTTTACTAATTTTCTTTCCTCTGTCACACTATTATAGAAAAAAGGGCAAATAGCAATATTAAAATATTTCCTCTAATTAATCCTCCCCCCCCCCCTTTTAATGTGCACGAATTTCGTGCTCCGGGCCACTAGTAATTAATAATACTGTATTACAAGTTTGAAAGTTGCTAAGAGTAAATGTTATAAATCTTCATTGTGTCCAACTGGTGTGGCTCAGTGGTTGAGCGTCGGCCTTTGAACCTGAAGGTTTTGGTTCAATTTCCTGTTCAGGGCACATGCGTGGGTTATAGACTCTACCCTCGGTGTGGGGCGTGAAGGAGGCAGCCAGTCAATGATTCTCTCATTGATGTTTCTATCTGTCTCTCTCCTTCTCTGAAATCAATAAAACTATATTTTAAAAGTGTTCATCATGCCCTGACCGGTTTGGCTTAGTGGATAGAGCCTCAGTGGATAGAGTGTCGTCCTTCAAATCAAAGGGTCCAGGGTTCGATTCTGGTCAAGGGCATGTACCTTGGTTATGGGCACATGCCCAGTAGGGGGTGTGCAGGAGGCAGCTGATTGATGTTTCTCTCTCATCAATGTTTCTAACTCTCTATCCCTCTCCCTTCCGCTCTGTAAGAAAATCAATAAAATATATTTTAAAAAAAAGTCTTCATCACAAGAAAAAAATATTGGTAACTATGTATGGGGATGGCTGGTAACTAGACTTATTGTGGTGATTATTTCACAGTGTAAGCAAATACTGTATCATTATGTTGCACACCTGAAACTAATATAATGTTATATGTCAATTACACCTCAATTTTTTAAAAATGAAAATAAAAAAGAACTGAAAGGGAGCCAGTACACTAGAATAGTGGTAGAAAGAAGGAACTGGAGTCCTGAGGGCGTAGGTCTGTCGCTCTGGTAGAGTGGGAGCCACATGCAGGAACTGGGCAGAAAGAAAAACCATGGTCCCAGTGAGTGGGATGAGTGCATGTAAGATTTCCCCAGCGGTGTGAGGGGTAGGATTTCTAAGCCAGTTCCAGGGCATGACCGAGGAATGAGGTTGAATGAATAATGGTGAAGGGGTCCGTATCATTGCAGTTTAGAGACCCGGAAATGTCCATGATAGGGGTCTAGGCTTTGTGCACGATGTTGACAGGTCGAGGTGATGGATGCAGTTGCAGTGAAGTGAACCAGTCATGACTAAAAATTTTAGAGTAGGCTTCATTTAAATAGCAAGGTGGAGATGATGATCACTGAAATCCCGAAGGTCAAGGAGCCATCATGTTGAGTGAATGGGTCATCTACCTAATGATGGAATAACAAGATAGAGTGTTATGTCTCGTATCTACCAGATCATTGAAATGGTAATGAGGGTGGTTGGTATTTTAACATATTTGACACAGCTACAATGTAGTATGAAAATGCCTTCTATTGATGAAAAGTCGATATACTAAATACTACTGTCTGTTGCCTATGTTTGTAATTAAAGGAAATGCTAAGTTTCACTGAGAAGTTAGTGAAAATGTGTAATTTTCTTTCCTCCATCCAAGGTCATAGGCCTTTTTTATTCTGTCATGATTCTGTGGTTAAGAAAACCCATTTTGAGGGATACTATGTCACAAAAGGCATAAACCTGAATTTAAAAGGTGGTTTTTGCATGAGGAAGAATTCATAGTTTAGAAGTGATGGTGCAGAGCTCAGAATATCTCCGCCACCTCAGGACCCAGTGACGATGGAGGCGTGCAGGGCTGGAAATGGTGGGCAGGGGCCTCTGTGTGCAGGCTCGGCTCTGAGCTCAAGAAGGCTGCCAGGGGAGCAGGTCCTTTGTGATAAAAAGCCATACTTCAAGCCCAAACAAAAAAGTTGAAGGGAGAGAAAGCTAATTCTCTAGCAGAGAGAATGTTTATGAGTTTGGGAGGCACAGTGGAGACTCTTAAGGAAGGGAGCAGTGAGCCGACAAACAGTGAGAAAAAGGACAGAGCGGCAGTAAATAGCCCCGAGGTCCTGGCGGAGGCGGGCGGTGGAGGCCTGTTGAGGCAGGCCTGGAGCCAGCAGGGTGGTGGCGACCCATAGCTTGGGCTCAGGTTTCCAGGTTGTTTGGTGCCCCTGGTTAAGATAGAAAAACCCGAAGTCACAGTGAGACACGTAGCCCCAGCTGGTTTGGCTCAGTGATTACCGGGTTTGATTCCAGTCCAGGGTTGCAGGCTTGATCCCTGGCCAGTGTAGAAGGCAACCAATCAGTATGTCTCTCTCACATCATGTTTCTCTCTCTGGCTCTACCCCTCCCTCCACTCTCTAAAAACCAATGGAAAAATATCCTCAGGTGAGGATTAACAAAAAAATAAAAAAGAGAGACACCTGATACAAAGTGCAAAACAGTATAGGAGGCGTGGAGAGGGTGTCTTACAATAAATTACCAAATGTTCTTCTGACTTTATTTTTATTACTGATGCCAAACACAAAACCATAATGGTTGATGAGTAAAAATGCATGTTAAGAAGAATTATCTTTTAAAAGACCAGATTTGCCATCCTACCCCAAGGAAGGATTTTGGAGTGTCTGCCAAAGTAAGGGAAATAACAGTGAAATTTGGTAATAAAGTACATATGTCTTGGGGTTAATAAGACTAGAAAAACTTTCAAATTATATGATTTAATTTTTAATCACCTGTAATGGATAGAAGAACTTGGTCTTTCTGACTGGGAAACTTACTCACTTTAAAATAGATGTTAATACTTTAATACATGGTTACCCGAATGTGCATTGTATATATTTCTTTAACCTAACAATAAATTTGTTCATCTGTAGACTGGTTCTGTTTGTGTTTGTTTTTTCTAGGAATTAGCTCTCCGGAGCCAGTTACCAACACTGGAGCCGGATGGTGGGACTCAGAATCCAGTGTCTTCTCCTGGGATGTCTCAGGAATTGAGAACAATGACGACCAATAGCTCAGATCCCTTTCTGAACAGGTTGGTGAGAGTTGCTACTGGCCAATATCTGAAAAAGATCATAGCTTTGAGATTATTCTTCATAGTACTTGTAATAAGCTGTTTGAACATCTGTGTGGTCCAAAAATCATAGTTGTAAAGGAATCTTTCCATAAATGGCAGGTACAATAAAACGAGGATTAAAAGCCGGCTCCTGGGAGAGGAAGTGAGCTGTTCAGACTTGTAGAGGGGATACTTAATTCACAGTCACGTGTTGCTCCTGCCTATACTGTTGACTAACAGTTACTTAAAATTACAGAATCGGGGAGAAACATGTGAATGCCTTTCTATGAAAGCAAATGAACTGCATCTTAAACCTGCTTAGGGCTGTAGGCTGCACTGTAAGGTAGATTGGAAGGAATTTTCCACATGAGTGTTCACCCTGAGTGCTTCACACAGCAGCACTGCAAGGCCTTGTGCTCATAAAGGAGATAAAATATAAATTGTGCCTTTTAAAAAAAAAGCATTAAGCCCTAACTGGTTTGGCTCAGTGGATAGAGCGTTGGCCTGCTGACTGAAAGGTCCCAGGTTTGATTCCGGTCAAGTGCATGTGCCTTGGTTGCGGGCACATCCCCAGTAGGGAGTGTGCAGGAGGCAGCTGATCAATGTTTGTAACTCTCTATCTCTCTCCCTTCCTCTCTGTAAAAAATCAATAAAAATACATATTTTTTAAATGCATTAATATTTAAGACGGCATTTGAAATGCAGTCGAAGGAGTGGGTTACCACCAGCCTGTGATCAGGAAGACTGCAATGTTATGTATAGTGCTGAGTCGAAAACTGCAAGCTGCAACAGGTCGTATTTGTTGCCTGGAAAACCATTTTAAGTTAAGATTGGACTACAGTTCATTCTTCTAAGTTATATTTTAGAGTTTCAGTTTTTAAGATTAAGGAACAAATGCTTTCTGGTCTTTGTGCTTTTGATTTTTTTTTTTTAACCAATTTTAAACAACACAGTTTTAAGTGACTTACAGGTCCCTTAGTTTAAGAAAACTATTATGCTACTCATTCAGTTCTCACCAACTGAGTTGAAAACATCATGATCTTAAGAAAAACAAACTTTGCTCTTTTGACACATATAGTCTATTTTATTTTATTTTGGGGAAGGTTATTAAGTAAATTTAATTTCAGGGAAGGTGGGGTGGAATACAAAGCATGGGTAGAAAGACTATGCTAAATATAGAACAGGCCTACATGAAATATATAGGAATTTAATGTGCTAGTTACATAACAAAACATTCACCTCATTCAGCAGTATTTTAACCTCACATTGACACATACAGTTTAAAGTTCTGCAAAAAATTGAGTGTATTTATACAAGACTATAATTCTGAACTTTAAATAAAGTTAGTTAAGGTCATAGCCACAGAATTTTTCTCCCCCACAGGGAAATTTCAGATCAATATAATTCCAGTACCCATCTACTGATGGCCAGTATTGATCCAGGGATAAAATTAGGCTATTTAGAAAAATGGACAGAATGTATATCTTTCTTAGTCACTGGTGAAGATTCTTTTTTTTTTCTTTTTTTTAATATATTTTATTGATTTTTTTACAGAGAGGAAGGGAGAGAGATAGCTAGAAATATCGATGAGAGAGAAACATCGACCAGCTGCCTCCTGCACATCTCCCACTGGGGATGTGCCCGCAACCCAGGTACATGCCCTTGACCAGAATCGAACCTGGGACCCTTCAGTCCGCAGGCCGATGCTCTATCCACTGAGCCAAACCGGTTTTGGCAAGATTCTTTCTTAAAACCTCTGGAAGCTAGGCTGCGATTGGAGATTGTAATTTCTGGTACAGATCTCAGAGTGACAGATCGTCAGTGATATTAGTCCAAAGGCAAAATGCTGTGTCCACTCTTTATAGTGCCTCTACCCCCATTTCTAAAACATGCATCTGACTATACCATTTCTCTTTTCAAAAACGTATGGTGGTTTCCCCATTGCCTGTTACTCAGTTCATACAGATTTCTTAAGCTCTAAACATTTCCCTAACTTGCCATGGAGTTGACTCTTAGTGGTGGTGCAACATCCCCTTATCTCCCTTTTCCCCTGAGAGCCTTCAGGGCCATCTCTGGTGTCCTGTCCATGAACCCTGCCCACTGTACTTTTTCAGCTCCCTCTTCTTTGCTCTAAAAGACACTATGCTCACATAGCCTTTTGTGTGATGCATTCCTGTCTTTATTTGTTCATCCCGCCCCCTGAAGTGTGAGCCTCAGAAAGCACCCGGTATTGGTGTTACTGCTTTTAACCTCCTCTGCATCTGAGCCTGGTCTAATGCCTGTCATAGTAGCAGATGCTCATGTATGTTTATGGAATGGCGATGGGGTTCTGCAGGGAGCAGGCACCTCCTTGTCAGGGAACTGGCTCTGTAACTCTGTCCTCAGAAATGTCGTGTGCTTTCCTGTGGCTTGATGAGAGCTGCACAACTGTGTCAGTCCAGCTGTTCTGTAGCAGAGTCCGGAGAGTCTGGTGTGTGCCCATGCTTAACAGCGGGAACAGTGACAACTAGGACCAGGCCTTTTCCTGGATCAGGGAGGGCTAAATAAAAGCAAACCACATCCTAAGGCAGTGGTTCTCAACCTGTGGGTCGCGACCCCTTTGGGGGTCGAACGACCCTTTCACAGGGGTCTCCTAAGACCATCGGAAAACACATATATAAGTACATATTGTTTTTGTGATTAATCACTATACTTTAATTATGTTCAATTTGTAACAATGAAAATATACCCTGCATATCAGATATTTACCTTATGATTCATAACAGTAGCAAAATTACAGTTATGAAGTAGCAACGAAAATAATTTTATGGTTGGGGGGTCACCACAATATGAGGAACTGTATTACAGGGTCGCGGCATTAGGAAGGTTGAGAACCACTGTCCTAAGGCCTCCTGTGCAACTGCATTGTATACAAATGGTCTCGGAGGCAAAATTGTGTTTTCTTGAATCTGTGTGAGGCTTTTGAATCTTGCCGAAATCTGGCAGAAGTGTTAGAGCAAACCAGTGGTCGCAATATACAGAGTGGGGGAAGAAATTTGGGGAGAACCGAGCTTTCAACCTTGAGGAACTATTAAAGCTCCTTTATAAAGCTTAGTTTTTGTTTTTGTTCGTTGGTTTGTTTGTTTTTGTTAATCCTCACCTGAGGATATTTTTCCATTGATTTTTAGAAAGAGTGGAAGAGAGAGGGAAAGACAGAGAGAAATATTGATGTGAGAGAAACACATCAATTGGTTGCCTCCTGCATGAGCCCTGACCAGGGCCCAGGCTGGGGAGGAGCCTGCAACTGAGGTACATGCCCTTGACCAGAATCGAACCTGGGACCCTTTGGTCCACGGGCCGATGCTCTATCCACTGAGCCAGATCAGCTAGGACTGTTTTTGTTTTTTAACATTTGTGTAAACTAAATAGCTGCTTACATGTCCAAGCTGTGAGGTAAGTTAAAGTTTACATCATGGTCATAGACCCTTGAACAGTTGCCTTTATTTCACACTTTGCTATAAAATTTCCTAGAATTGATAGAGCCCCACATTTTACCGTCAGTGCCAGCTGCTGTCCGCAGTGCCACTAGCTTCTGAGGCATTTGTGTTTTCCTCCCTAAACAGAAGCAAGAAGATCAAGCTATGGGAGTGCTTATCGAATCGGTAGTGACTGATCTGTTCTGGCCTAATCCAAAAAGGAGTTTGGTTTTTTATTTTTGCATTGATTTTTTTCCCCCTTGGCTTAAATTCTCTGGCTTAAACATGTCTCACCGCCTACCTAGAGTCTGAGTTGCCACCTACACGTGTGCTACCACCACTTAGGGAACGGAGACCTTGAAATAAGTATGTGGATCCCTGAATTCAAAATGGGATTACAGAGAGAAGACCTAGACAGAAAATTCTATCAGCTGGGAACTGAATAGATCTTTTTTATTCCCTATAACCATCAGGCCCAGACATTTAAGAGAAATCTTGGCCCCTTAGAGCTGCAGCTTCGATTAGGGTGACCTTTTCTATTTCCCTGCACAGACCAAGGGCTGTATAAGGGCCCTGAAGGAGGGAGCTGGTTTCAGATGTTGCAGAACAGGAATTTTCACTAATCCTCTTTGAGAATCCTGTTAGTGCTCAGCGGGCGTTTATTTTTACTTTGAAATCATATTTTATTGATGGTCTTTAACTCTCTTTGTAGTGGCACCTATCACTCTCGAGATGAGAGTACAGACAGTGGACTGAGCATGAGCAGCTACAGTGTCCCTCGAACCCCAGATGACTTCCTGAACAGTGTTGATGAAATGGATACAGGTTGGTATTCCTTATCCCTCTGAGGAATTGACTGTCAGGCAAGTACCATCATTTTATCACCAGGACTAATAAGCTGTGAGCAACAATTATTCAAAAGAAAGCCATTAACATTCTATCAACTTCAGTTCAAATTGTGCCTTTTTTTATGGCTGTTTGTAATTTAAGTCTTTTATCAGTTTTTAAATGTGATGGAATCTTAGCTCTATTTGAACAAAACTGAGGGCATGACTTATTTTATTTATTTTTTAATCCTTATCCGAGGATATTTTTCCATTGATTTTAGAGAGAGGAAAAGACAGAGAGAAACATCGATGTGAAAGAAACACATCGATTGGTTGCCTCCTGCACAAGCCCTGACCAGGGTTCAGGCTGTGAGGAACCTGCAACTGAGGTAGGAACCCTTGACCCGAATCAAAACCGAGACCGTTCGGTCCACAGGCCGACACTGTCCACTGAGCCAAACCTGCTAGGGCAAAGACATGACTTATTTAGCATTTAAAATAGTGAATTAGTTGGCAGGGGAATTGAGGACATTATTAGAATTCTCTATTAATAGAGATTTGTAGTTGTAATTTTGGAGAGAGATTTCTATCTGTGATTCAGTGTCTGCCTCCCTCTTTTCTCTGAGGGCTTTTGGTCCAACTTAGGTGTTATGGGGAAGGCTTGGTGATGGGCTTCACCTACTTTATTGTTAGAACAGTCACAGGAGTCTTGCAGGTGCTGAGAAATACCTGCCTCTCAGAGTCATTGAGGATGCCTTTCTCGTGTGGCTCAGCTGATTGCCCTGGACTTGGCAACTGGCAGCGGGCAGGACCCTGCAGCCATCCTCCAGCTAGCGGGTTCTGAGCTGACAGTGTTTGGCAAGTCTTTTGTAAAAGCCTGTGCTCATCCAGCTCACAGCTGTAATGCTTCCTAGAAATCCCCTGTCCCCCTTGTCTCGGCTTATCTAAATCTCCAGTCATCCTTAAGAGTCACTTCAGACTCATCTCATTCAAACACATTTCCTTACTCCTCTTCCCCATTTGTCTTTTCTCCAAATCACTACAGTGGGTCCTTGACTTGCAAGTTTAATTCCTTCGGAGACCAAGCTCGTTAAGGAGCTCATTAACTCAAATTACTCTATCAACTCAATGCAAAAAATCGAGACAGCTGGTATCTCAAAAAACTCATTAGTCGGGACACTTGTAAGTCAAGGCCCCACTGTATAGCACTTAATGGTTTATATTAATTTTTCTGAAAATTGGAGCTCTAAGGAATGTTAACTTTGTCATGTGCCCCCCCCAAAAGGGTTTTGTGGCCAGGCAAATTTGGGAAACCCAGAAGCAAAGCAAGGAGGATTTATGTACTCATGGACTTCTTGGGAGACTTGCTTTGCTATATTATGAAATGTGAATCTCCAAGAATGGAATAGAGTTTTCAGCCAGTCCTTTTATTTTAGTGTTTCCCAAAGTGTATTTAGCGAAAGATGGGACTATACCACTCATTTTCCTATTTCATCTTATGCTGGTGTGCATATCTGGAAGAGAATCAGGTGGTGACGCTCTTGTGTGGTGTGCTTGCTCCCTCTCCCTTGCTGTATATAATTTTTCAGGGGATTTTTACTTTTATTATAGCCGTCCCCCTCCTTTAGTGCTCAGCACATAGTGTTTAGCGAGCAGTCAAATTGTTGGTTAAATATGCTGACAAATGTTGAAGCAGAAGTAATCTTGGCATTGTTATTTATGAGTTGTTTGGTCTAAAATGAGCTGTGCATCATTTCAGGTCAGTCAGGAGTTGCTTTTCTTTATGCATTTCTGTGTGCTCTCACATGATACAGCTCCGTTCTTATCTTTTCCACAAGAACCTTATTCTGTCTCTTTCTCTGCTCCAACTAGGTGATACTATCAACCAAAGCACTCTGCCCTCCCAGCAGAATCGTTTTCCAGACTACCTTGAAGCCATTCCTGGGACAAATGTGGACCTTGGAACACTGGAGGGAGATGGAATGAACATAGAAGGAGAGGAATTGATGCCAAGTCTGCAGGAAGCTCTGAGTTCTGACATCCTTAATGACATGGAGTCCGTTTTGGCTGCCACCAAGCTAGATAAAGAAAGCTTCCTTACATGGTTATAGAGCCCTCAGGTAGACTGAATTCTAAATCTGTGAAGGATCTAAGGAGATAAGACACACATACCAGAAATTTCCAAATAAGCCAGTTGCAATCTCCTGGCTAATACAGAAAAAGATGAACAAACGTCCAGCAGGATTCTTTCATCCACTGTTTGCTCTTCCTTGTCCATTGCTGCTGTTACTATATTGCTGACCTCTTTCATAGTTGGCCCTAAAGAATCAAAAAAAACCCACAAAACTTTTTGTTTCTTTTGCTATTATAACTACTGTTTGTTTGGGGGCTGGGGGAATTGAGCCTGTTTTGATGATGGATGCCATTCCTTTTGCCCAGTTAGATGTTCACCAGTTATTTTAACTAAATAGACCTGGAAGTCAGATGCTTCATGTCACCACATTTAGTTTGTTTAAGCAATTATTTCTTCAGCTGCTTTTGGCCAGTGGAAAAACATGACTTACTGGTCTGATAAACCAAATATGTTGTGTCTGATATTAAGTACTTAATGATGATTTGGCGAGATAGCTGAAACCAAGGCTGAAGACTGTTTTACTTTCAGTGGGTTTTGTTTTGTTTTGTTTTTTCCTCCTAGTGCTATATCATTAGTCACATAGTGACTTTGATTTTATTTTAGGAGCTTATAAGGCATGAGACAATTTCCATAGAAATATATTAATTATTGCCACATACTCTAGTATAGGTTTTGATGGGTTTTTATTGTGGGTTTGTTTTGTTTTGGTTGATTGGGTTTTTGTTTTTTTTTTCTGGAACCGAGGCAAATGACCATAGTAGTGAATCTGTTTATAGTTGTAGCTGAGATGGTTATTATAGTTTCTTTGGTAAAATCTACATTTCCTGGTTTTTTACATTTTTATTTAAATCTTGATTATCTGCTCTCTCCATATATATATATATATATATATATACACACACACACACACACACACACACACACACCCTGACACACTTATAATTTCATATGATAGTGTGATAGCAGAATGTATATATTTTTTTTAGGTTTCCCTTTCCAATTTATTTTAAAATGGTAGTTTTGAATATATGCATTTAGAATACATGACTAATGGTTTATATTTCACAGGTAGTTTAAATCTGGCTGGGGCAGTCTACAGATGTTTGAGGAAGTTTCATGTTCTAGAAAGGCTGTTGTTGTGGATAATGCCGTAAGGATGATGCCCTCTGGGCACACAGTGAATATCATCTGATGAATTTGAAAGAAGCAAACAGGAAATGGCTCTATTTTCCCCTTGTTACTCCCTTGAACTAATTTTAAGTCTTGATGGGCAATCACTGAGTAGGTTCATAATGTACATGACAGAAGTAAGTTTTATGTGGTCATGCACCTGCCTGTAGTTTTGGAAGTTTTACCTTCACCTTAGTTTTGGAAGTAAATTCTAGTTATTTTAGTTGTCATTTGTTAATGATCATTAACTACATTATTGCCTACAAGACTATTCATATAAGACTTGCTCTTCTATATACTGAGAATTGACCCTGGACAGTATAATGCTGTACGGTCATGTGTTAGCTGGTAAAGTGGTCAGATTAATAAATGTATATTGGTAGTTGACTTTAGCAAAGAAATAGTGATAATCATGAGTATACTTTTATTTTTACAGGAAGAGATATTACTAGAGTATGTGTCTACAGGAGTAATAATGGTTTCCAAAGAGTATTTTTTAAAGGAAAAAAATGAGCATGAATCCACTCTTCAGTATAAGCTATGAAGGAATAGTTGGGTGTGAATTACAGTGGCACCAGCTAGCACCTCTGTGATTAAGGGTCTTTCAGTGTTCCTAGAGTAAGCCCTTATTTTCAAGGGTTTATAACAGGCATAAAATCTCTTTTCCTGGCTAAACCTGTTCTGAAAAGCCTCAGCTTGGGAAGATAGATTTTTTTTTCTAATTAACAAAATCTAAGTATTTTGACCCTTCAATTTAGAGAAGTACAAAAGTTGGAAGTAAAGTTTCATATTAAGTATTTTTAGTGCTCAAAAACAATGCAATCTCTGTGTTGTATATAAGGATTAATAGGTCAATCACTCATAATAAATGACTCTAAGGCTTTTTATTAAGAAAACACCAGAGAGATTAAATCTTGAAATAAGTCTGGGGGAAAGTGGCCACTGTGCAGATACATTAATTTTTTTTTTTAGAGCAATAATGAAATTCTACTTAGAATGCATAATTAAGTATATGGATGATATAGCATGTTGGGTTTTTAATGTGTAGAAAATAAAGCTATTTGGAAGGAGTGCCTACAGTTTGCCAGTAAGCGGCAAGTCAAGATTGTATCTTATATATCAGCAGAGTAGCTCTAGGTAAGGGAGGGGCGGGGAGGGGGTTGTGAAGACTTAGTGGGACTTTGATAGAGAACTTTATAACCTTTTTCTTCAGTAAGGACTTTATCTTGCATCTTGCTGTCACTGAAGGCAGCTGTTCCTAAAATTTCAATCACTTAAGTACACCCACAAAATGAGACTATGGAGTTCTTCATTTCCCCTCGACTTTCATTTGCCCGGTGATACCTCAATGTCATGGCAGCACTGTGGTCCGAGACAGGCACAGCGCTCTGACCTTGTCAGACCCTCTGTACTGACCTGAGTCCTTTCTCTTTCACAGCCTCAGGACGGTCTTTCTTGTTTTATGTCCTTGTTCCTAACGTAAAAGTGTTTAACTGCTTCTTGGTTGTTAATGGGTAGCATTGGGATAAGATTTTTAACTGGGTATTCTTGAAATGCTTTTACAATAAACCAGTTTTTATAATCTTTAAATTTTATCAGCTTTTTACATTTGTGTTCTTTTCAATTAGGGCTAAGATCTACTTATGGTTGATGGAGCACATTGATTTAGAGTTTCAGATTTTCCAAAGCACTATTTTCTATAATAACTATTTTCTAAATATAGTGCCTTTGGGGGGGGGGGTCTGGAAGGACATAAGAAAGAAATCTTGTCTAATTATCATATTACACCTATAAACAAATAATGTTGCTGTTTTAAGTATTCATATTAAATAGATTCATTCTGTATGGAACCTTGGCAAAAACACTGAAAATAACAATAATTAATTGTATAATTCATAATTCATACCAATCAGTGTTGAAACTTAAACCGTGCAAAGTGGGAGCCAATATTCAGTGATTAACAACTTAATAGCTTTTGCACATCTGAGAAGTGAGTGCTCAGATGAATTTTATCTTCCTCCAGCATGTTTTTATAAGAATTGTGGGTGTGTCTATCTTAACAATTGTTTCTGTATCTTGAAAAAGTATCTTCCACATTTTAAATGTTTTATATTAGAGAATTCTTTAATGCACACTTGTCAAATATATATATATAGTACCAATGTTACCTTTTTGTTTTAGATGTAAGAGCATGCTTATCATATGTTAGGTACTTACATAAATTGTTACATTATTTTTTTCTTATGTAATACCTTTTCGTTTGTTTATGTGGTTCAAATATATA